CGACCACCTGCAGGAAGAAGCTGATACCATAGTTAAGGGGAGCACGCGAGAAAAACGTGGAAGTAGATCGATACGCGGCTCTCGAGTGATCACTGGTGAATCTACCGGGCCTCATGCTGCCATGTCAATTCCAAATCACTGAATCGGGCTTTTACCCCCCGATTCTTGTCAATGAATTCTTATGATTGAAAGTTGTGCCAAAGGAATAAAGAAACAACCACTTTACTAAATTGATTTAAAGGGGCAGCATATATATCCAGGAACGGTGGAGGCGGGCCGCGGGCATGATAGGCAAGCATGTCACGGACTACACTGATGTATATTGAGACTACTACCGCAATACTCGTTTTTTCATAACGAGTAATACCATAGACAACGTTCTTGAATACATCCACTTTGAGAAAGTACTTCCACAGAATCTATCGGAGACACCCACTCCGCGGCAAAAAAACGTATGCAGTCACACGGAAAAAATAATATCTGCGCTTGAGCTAGATTTAAGCGGCATATACCGCATCTTCAACTCAATTAGAGTTCCTCGAGCAGCGGTTTTGACGAGAAAGGTCTCAGATATATCGGTGTTTGGTTCGAGGTCAAACATACTAGCACTCTAATAGCCAACGCAAAAAAAATACGTCGGTAAAATCCCTTTTGCTATATTGGTCAATATAAAATGCTTATCAAGGCGGTAGATGACACTCCAGGGCACCGCACACAGCCCCTCACGCATCTACTCGAACGGGCTAAATTCTAATTTCGAATATATCCCCATGGAGGAATAATTCCCCATGGAGAAATAGTAGACGCACTCGATCATTCAAAAGGGGATACGCCATGACTGTGCGCAAATACACAGTACAGATAGCGTAAGTACATATAGGTACCTACTCTTTACATCTCGACTCTCATGCAGGAACCCTACCAATACTCAATCAATTGTCTCTCGGCAAAACACGTGGACGGAGAAGGCAGATAAGATTGGCCCAAGCGAGCTTCGCAATAATCAAATTTCACTCACTCATTGAATATCACTCGAAAATACCTTCCGGATTCCGTGGCAGGTGCCGTGCCGGAGGCTTGGATTCTGCACTGAGCTGGGGTCGGGGGTTGTCTGGGCATAAAACCGATTTCCTTCGGAGGTACTGAACCAGCAATAAAACCACATATGACAATATACGTCTCCAATAACTTGCGCCTAATGATAAACTATAAAGTCAAAGAACCTATGCAGTAACTAGAGCTCACGTGAATCTCAACGGAAAAGGACTAAAGGATCGGAGCTAAACGAAGCGAGTGAGCGAGTGAGAAAAAACTCATCCAGGTGACGATCCTAATAGTATGAGTGCCACTTCCTGGAGTCTGGGGGAGAGGGGGATCAACCAGCGTGTAGCGTAACAAAGTTTTCTCTCCCAAGACAAGGCTAGCGATGAGCACGAGTGAAAGTGGCATATCTCCTGAGCTAAATTAGCTCGTATGGGCGGTGATACCTAGAAGGAAATAATGAGACTCTTTGCACTGCTACTACCTCCGGGAAATTCCGGGTTTGGATATGTGGAGGGGCCCGCGTTAATGGACCAAATGAAGTGGCAGAGCTGCGTACGTAAACTACATGTATGAGATACAATTGGACCTGTGATGCTCTCAACCAGCTGAACCCATTGAGAAAAAGACTATCTGTATCCATCACTAGTCCCACGGGGTCGAAGTCTAGACTTCATAAAAAAGAGTGCTTAGCAAGGAAAGCAATGATCATGCTGGCCGGCCTCACTTTTCTCCGCCTTAAGATCTTTAGATGGGCGAAGATCTCAACTAGGGTACCGGTACTGAATGCATTATCATCTTTATCATCTTATCTTTTCTCATTGCGGATCCAACACTATTGCTTACTCAAAGAAGCAAAAGTAAAGGATCAGAATAACATGAAATTGTTAGTATACGCACGCCTGGGGGGGTATGGTTAACCTGGTACGACCAACTCCTCGCACAATCGAAAACAACTTCAGCAAAAAAGTACTCTTGGTGACTCCCTGACAATTAGAAACGGCTCTCCGTATTCCTACAAAGAATAGTGCCTACTCTCATATCCCCCAGTTTAACCATACCCCCGGGATCGCGTCTGGTGAAAAGGCACATAGGTCCAAGAAGCTACACATATTATTTACGATTAAGGACACATCTACTTGTTCACTTTAATTTCCGGTAATGCTGTTAGCCATCTAATTCCTCAACTATCGGTTTCTGTCTTGACCGAAGAACGCCAATTCAAGGTCACTCCTATTATAATTAACCCCCCATGTTCAATTCGTCGACACTCATCACCCGTAACCCTAAGTTTAAAAATTGGAACTTATTTTAACTGGTTAAAACCCCAATTTCTCTGCCTTTAACAGATGGCCCCACTGTTACATCGTGTTCTTCCAGTTAGCTGACACTCCCGGTAGATATCTCAACCTCGTCCCAGTCAGCTGCAGACTGCAGTACATGAGGTCCTTCAGACGCAGTCAGATCCGTTAAACAGCTACTGGGAACTGGGTTCATCATCATAGAGTCACGACTGAAGCGAGGGTCACTTTGCAGGTTAGTCACCAAAATACCCGTGCGCCTACATGTCATTGATCCACAGGTTCTCACTCGACCTCTCATCTCTCACCTCAACCCCAACCAAACCTATCAACCCCTCCACCATGCATCAACCACCATCAACTACAGTATCCCGCCTGGGTTCACCGCCTGATCGATTCTCACCTCATGCCAAATCAGCCCATGTCGACCCACCCCGCTAGCCTTATACAACGGCCACACATACAAAAGCTTCATCTATAAACATTTCCTTCCACCCCCACTATACATTCACAAAAAAGCAAAGGGAGAACGAATAACGAGCAAAACATCCATCCATTCGATCAGCTGCCGTGCACACAGGACCTATAACACGAATCACGGAGTAATTTTATAAGGCACTTACTTACGTATGCACACCGCGCCGGAGCAAAGGAAGTTTACGGTCAATGGGAGGATATCGATATCTGCCTAAGAAGCACAGTTGCGGCACAGAAACATTAAATGAAGGCCTAGCCTTATTGCTAACGGATTATTCATGATAGCTATGGCTCGGTTTTACTCTTGTTAACTTACTAACAATCGAGCTTTTTTGGTCAAAGTAGCATAGCAGCAAACGATAATGTCCTCCGGACCACGATCGCCGTGACCGCCCATCACTCCAACTTACCCCGGACATAGTCCTCGCCCGGACTCGGCCACGAGTAATTGCGCCACTCGTTCTTCGCCACGTCTCCGGCGAATACGCTTTGTACCTGTCTGTACAGATGTTTCCTCTCAAGAGCTCCCACGACATCCCCCCAGATGGCCAATAGCTCCTCGAGCTCTTTCAACGAGCTCACGCTGCCAACCGAAACCCCCATTTTCCCCCCCACATCCACCTTTCTCCCTGCCACCACCGGACTCACCGCCGACCCACCCCTAGCCCCATCCCGCACCCACCCCTCAATGCTAAACCGCAGCGCCAACGTCTCCAGCTTCCCCCCCGTCCCCGCCACAACCCCCGCCGCCTCCGCGCACCTCTCCCGCAGCTCCCCCGGCGCCGGATGAAAATCGCCTATATCCCCCACCGGCACCCCCTGGCTCCTCAACAGCCCCATCCCCAACGGCGACCCATTCAGCACACACCCAACGCCCGCCTCCCCCACCAACCGCCCCAGCACCTCCTCCGACGCAAGCACACTATTCTGCAACGTGTAGTGCGCATACGACATGACCGCATCCAGCGCCTCCCCCGTCTCCTCCTTCACCCGCTTCGCCAGCTCCACCAGCACGCCCGTCGGATACCCGCTGATGCCCACATACCTGCACTTCCCCTCCGCCCTCAACTCCCGCAGCGTCCGTACGGCCACCACCACCTCCTCGGCACTCACAAACTCTACATCATGGCAATACACCAGATCCACATATCCCGTGCCGAGGCGCTCCAGCGAGCGGTCCAGCGACCGCCTCACCCAGTCCGGCGAGTAGTCAAACGTGTCGGCCGCGATGCGGCCCACCTTGGTGCTAAGTATGTACGACGCGCGGTCGTGCGGCGCCGTGGCCAGCGCCGCGCCGAGCATAGACTCGGCCGGCCCGTAGTACGGCGATGTGTCGAAGGCGGTGATGCCGGCGCTGAGCGCTGTGTGCACGATAGCCGTGGTGGGCAGCAGGTGCGGGGTGCTGTTGTATTGGTTGTTGAAGGTTGTGGTGCCGAGGACGAAGGGAGGGAGGATGCTGGAGAGGGTGGGGCGTGACATTTTTGCTGTGCTGCACTGTGTGTCTTTGAAGGGGACGGTGGGTAGGTGAGTGAAGGGAGGGGGAAGGGGGAGATTGAGAGGAGCGGGGTGAGTGGGAGAGAGGAGAGAGGCTGCTACGGGCTAGAATACTAGTGAGACAAGGCCAATCACAACCCGCCGGGCGCTTGTGTAATCTGTCTGGATACTGGCATAATCACAGGCTACGGAAACTGACACTGTGGAACAAAGATAAGAGAACACCTAGGGTATTGTACGAATGACGACGGTGTTAAAAAGCTGCGTATCTATCGATATCGCTGTAATTATAAAACCTAGATGCCTACATACATAGCTAGGGCTATTAACACATTGGCGCAACGATCATGAAGATATCACCAACGCAGGAAAACCCAAAATCAGATACGGCGGGGCCACCTCCTGCGATTAGGCATAAACGTTTCTGTGTTGTGCTGCTGCACGGCGCCGTCATTTCTGATATCATTGGAGGAGGCCGAAGATCGAGATGCAAGGGATGCCGATGCTGTAAATCTAAGAGCCTCCGCAGTCATATATCTACATATATATCATGTCTACTCTAAATCCAAATGCTTCAATATCCATGTTGAGTTCAGAGCCGCACAAATAAATCCCAATGCTGCTGCTACCAATATCGTCGCAACACCTGACATACCACAACCTCAATCCCCACCCCGCCAATTGAGAATGCATCTCACCCACCTGCCTCCAGCGTCTCTTCCCGCGTTCGCGCATCTGAATCAAATACATCTAGCGCTAAAGCCAGTCACCACTCCTTCCTCTGGTACCGGTCTACACTTTAGCTCTACCGCCGCCGACGACGATTCAGGGCCTCTCGTAAAAATCCCACAGGATCTTATACTCTGTGCCTCCACCGTCGAAGCCCGCGCTAAATATGACCATCACCTTGCGGAAGTCCTGAAGGCTGTCGGAGAGTTCGCCAGGAGCCCAAGGGGCGCAATAATGGTTTTTTTGTTGGTCAGCTTTAGTACAGCTGCCGGGTTGGGTGTTGGGCAAAGGGGTGCGTGGAGTGAGTAAGTGGCTATTGATAGTTCTCTTACCGTTGTTACTTTTGCTATCATTGTCACTGCTGCCAATACTAGCGTTGTTTTTGGTGGTAATGATCGTTGGACTAATATCTATATGGGGCCGGAAAGATATGTCAAATTCCTCCCTGATCGGGTAGCACTGCCAACAACCTGGACCGAGCACGAGCGTCATCTTCTGAAAGGCACAAGTCTAGCCACAGTAAATCACTCGTTCTTCTGCTTCATCAGATCTCACTCTTCCGGGAGGATTCGGCCCCGAATACTAACCTAATAATCATCACACATATAGGCAGTAGAAGCCAAGCTGCACACCCTCATGACTGAGTTCACGCATCTACAGACTAGTACAGCTCACCTACCATGGTGTCAGTCCCACTGGTGGGATCCTCCTGAGGAGCTTGTACTCGAGGACTGGATCCATATCGATTCGATTTTCCGGTCCCGCGTGTTGCAGTTCCCCCGATTGGGTGTGGGAATGGCGCCAGTGCTGGATTTTGTTAACCACGGCGATTCAAATGCATATTATAGTATAGATGAAGAGGGTGATGTTGTGTTACTATGGAGAGAAGGCGTAGAAAAGGAAGGAGAGGTTTTTATCAAGTACGTACTATACGTTTGGTGTACACATGCATGAGGATGGCTAATAGCACCGGTGGTGTAGCTATGGAAGTGAAAAGTCTGCCGCCGAGATGGTGTTCTCATACGGTTTCATCGACGCCAACATGTCTGACGCCTTTTGGCTATCTCTCGAGCTGCGTCATGACCCGGAAGACCCACTCGGTTTAGCCAAAGAAGCAGTGATGAAGGAATCACTGAGGTTAAGAATTTTTGTGTTGGATGATAAGATAGCCTGGCTGAGCACTTTCATTTGGTTAATGTGTGTCAACACCGAAGATGGGCTGTCATTCAGGTTATTGCAAGAGAACGATGGGAGTAAGAAGCTGTTATGTACGTGGGAGGGGGAGGTAGTGGAGGAGATCTCTCACCTAGAAAGCTTACTAGAGAAAAGCGCACTATGGGAGGTGTACCAGCTGAGAGCGGTGTCCCTTGTCCAGGGAAGAGTGATTGAGCAATTGAATGAGCTGATGGCTGCAGAAGAGGAGATGCAGAGTATAACTGGAGAAGTTGGTGAGACGGCAGAGAGGTTACGAGTTTTGGAGGGGAATCTATTGAGGAAGGCGGTAGATGACTTGGAGGTGCAGAAAGAACAGTTAGTGGAGACGGAAGTGGTAAAGGAGTACCTGAAAAAGATGGCGGAAGATGAGAGTTTTGAGGAGCAGGCTGAGGATCAAGACGAGATTCAAGACGATGATGAAGATTTACGGTGAAGTACAATATTGAACACCGGGATCCATCAAGAGGTTTTGTAGATAAGAGAAGAAGGTATCCAGCTCCTCGATAGCTCATATTTATACTCAATTTCAAAGGGCTAGTTGGCATCTAAGTTATACAGACCATATAGTCTGATACGAGTGGTCAGTTTGTCACATAAAGCTCCCTCTACTCTTCAATGATGACACGCAGTTTCAGCGGAAGAATTCGATCTCGATATTCTTGAATAATCTGTGGGTAAATCTCCCCCTTCAAAACCAACCAATCAATCAATCAATCAAATCTATGAATTAAACAAAAAAAAAAAAAAAAATCAATCAAATCTCGTCGACTCAGGATCTTCGGATGCGAGTGATATTCATGTCGCACCCGCTACCTAAATGATAGAACCCTAACCCATCCTCAGGTTTTTTGTCATTAAAGAAGTCCCACGGCCTCTACCAGCGCAGAAAACGCATCACTTGATGCATTGTCTATACAAAAATGGTGCGTAAATGCATAAATTGATGCATAAACCTGTCGAGGCTTCTGTAATATCGTCCAGCCGTGAATTTATTGACAACTTTATTGATTACTTTACTGACAAGATTATACTTGAACACATTTGCTGATGTATTACCGTACAAGAACGAATTTACAACGACTTTTGTCGTATGTTCGATTTTACCTTCGATTTTACCTACAATCTGACGTAAGATTAGTGTTCCCCGTGAGACGAGCCGGCTCACAAGCTTGGCTCGAGACAGCGGGCTCGAACCCATGAGACTGAACAACCCATGAGACGAGCCTGCTCGAGACTTTTATCAATTCTGCTCGAGCCTGTCTCGAGCCCGCCAAGAATTGGTAATCATGGGGAATACTATACTAAATTTATATTAGTTTTAGCCAAGCAGAACCTTTTTGTCGTGACTACTTCAACCATCCCTAACCGTGGGCTCTCAACTAATGATAGTACCTAATTCTGAACTATGGATCGTTTCTAGCCATCAAATTCTTGCCAAACAACGGCCTGGCGCCAGCTTCTAATGCCTCTGTAGGATCTCTGAAGCCGCCGCTCGTCTCGAACCGGCTCATGGGGAACACTACGTACGATTTTGAACTTCAGCTTGATATATTAGTATAGTTCTTAATTCTAGTATATATATACATACTTATTTACTGATACATTTCCTGATTTATAATTGAACCCTTGGCGGAATGAGACTGTGATGCATCATTGATGCATTGCTGATGCATTGTTGATGCATTGTTGATGCATTGCTGACATTGCTGATGCATTACACAAATTCCACAGTTTTTTAGTCGATGATGTATTTACGGATGCAATTACCGATGCATTTCTTCCGGTACTAGAGGGCAGAAAGAAAAACTGCTTATCCTACTAATAAATACATTGATATATACCGTCAGTCAAATTGCAAATGCAGTCGTCTTTGTTTGATTTTTTGATCAATCAAGCACAATCTAAATAATTATATAGACAAAGCTAGGTCTCCCTTTAAGAATACTTACAAAGCCTAGTCTATAATAGTTAAGTATCCAGTACAGTAAACTACCGGCATGTTTAAACGGATTAAGTGGACATGTTGTGATAATTATTGTGTGGGTTAGGGTTTCATATAATTCTATGTCATATAGATGGCACCATAGATTGATTGAATCACGACGAACTATAATCGAGTTGATTCAAGAATATTTAGATTGTAATCTCCGGTCTTCTCACGGTCCCTTTGAGTGTTCACGGCGCATTGTATAATATGAAACAGTCTTTGTGTCAATCATAATTTAACGGCCAAAAGACAATCATTGAGCACTCAGATATATAGTCAATTAGTTGTATATATGTGTACCCTGTATATCACGTGCAGAAAGAACGGACAAGATACAAGCTACCTTATTCCAAGTATAATCAATCGGGTACACCGAGAAGTCGTTGAGCTCGAGACTGTCTCAAGACCCGGGCCGTGCCCCTCTCGAAGACAGGAAGCAAAACAAGACGCGATCACAAAAACAACCCATAAACCAGCTTAAGTAGCTTCAAGGTCTTCATAGCTCCTGTAAAAGTGGCAAATATAAAATGTCTTAATGGTTAGGGTTCACCGTAGACCAATTATCACACTATACATACTGTTATTCACATGTGACTATCCCAAAGCCCTATCAATGCATACATTAAGAGAGAATATAGACAGATCTAGAGCTGGTACTGAGTTATATCGTTATACTCGTCCCCCGCGCACACCACATGGCATATTCTTCAGCTGCCGGAGTCCCTACACAAGACCGGACCACAATCTCCTTTCCCCATAACCATCAGCTTACAAAGCCCCGCATAAGCCGTGCACGGCCTGCGACCGGCGTTCGATATTACTGCTTCCCCGGTTTATTACTTTAATTTACAGGGTTAGGGTTTTGTCCCGAGTTTCATCTAGATGAAGTAAGTACTATCCAGTGCTTCCCGTCACTAACAATCACTCGCCCACTGACCGTCTCTAGCCACCACTGGCACCCAAGCAACAAGCAACAAGTAAGAATCTAAACTCCATATTGAATGAAACAGGGAGGCCAATGCGCTCAGAGGGCGGATCCGGCCATCCTCCTGCCTGATATGAAATCTCGATCCTACTGTTTCAAGTGATATCATGGCCGCTGCCACCGTGACCAATGAACACCATATACCATATATCCACTGTTTGTGCCAACGGCCTTGGGCGGTAACGGTAACTCTGGCTAGCTGGCTTATCGGCTATAGCTCTGTTGATTGATAACTACATGGCATGTGCTCTTTTTTTTTTTTTTTTTTCTATAGCATGAATTTCGGCTTTCAATACGTAATCTTTGGCTCATAGGCTGGCCGTCGATAAGTTGTTATAAGACACTTTGCGGACATCATGAGGACAGCATCGCTGTACAGTAGGTATACGCGCGCAAGAGGTGCAATATTATGCTCTCACCAGCTCGTTTTCATTAGCAGCATAGACCAAACTAGTATATACTCCAACCGCCAGTTTCACTACGATCAACATCTTCAGCTGAGATACGTATTGCCGTCACAACCGGTCTTCTTCTTCCTTTCTTCAAATATTATCAACATGAATAGTGATTTCTGATGATGTGTCAATCGTATGAAACGACGATCTTCCCATTTCCCCAACAGCATATGCGTCCATCCGAAGGAGGCGTCTCCGAAACCAGGTAACGCACCCCCTCCAACATAAGTACACTTTCCTCGCAAGTCCAGTCCACGAGTAACCAACAAGTAAAGTCAAGTAAAGTAAAGTAAGCTATTGGAAACATCCCATATCATAGCACCGGACGTACGCCGCACCAGGAAGGACGCTGACCGTGTGTCCGGGGGGGGAGGGTCGGTCTAGGCGTAGAGTGGCAGTTAGCTTGGTAAGAGCCAGGCAAAGGCTACGATACGCCTTATTTTCCATTCGCAAATCAATGACAATAGGTGTTGAAACATTCCCCCAGCTCAAAGCGGGACACATATTCATGACGCATCACTCGCCCGTTTTTTCTTTTTCTTTTTCTTTTCCTCAGCTGGCCGGGGTGGGCCGAGGCGGGTGCCCTGTAATTTTGCTGATGGTGATCATCGCGGTCGGCTTTCAAACCTCACCGTAACAGAAGGTGATGCCGAGGTGAGCTCGAGAAGAAAGCGTTACGAGCGAAACGTCTATTTCGGCTCGGATGCATACCTGTTATGCGCGCGGGTTAGGGCAGGTACATAACTCCACACATCAGGAGCAGGCAGAGGTAAGTAACTGCTTGCATTGAAAGTGGCTGATGCCCTTCAGCTCGAGCCTGGCTAGCTGCCACGCACATCGACAATTAACGAACGTCTCGATCCGATGATTCCATCCCGTGCTGTGATTGGCCGCCACGTCGATTAGAAACCCCCAGTCGTGAGATTGGCGTTGGAAATATGTGCTGTGGGGGGGAAGATGAGGAAGGGGAAGAAGTTAGGCTGAGCTGCTTGCCAGTCAGTCAGTCAGTCAGGTAGATAGCCTTGGGTGATTCTTTATGATGCAACCCGACGGTAAGGGGGCAGAGAGAACCTTGTGTCTTATGCCTTGCGGGCATTCTGATTGGGCGAATCGAGAGGAAGAAGCGCAAGATGTTCATTAATTAGTTTAAGGGTACATGATACCAATGTACCCACCGTCATGTATCCTCGAACTTGTTTAATTGTTTCCTTTTCTCGACTCTCTCTCGAGATCAATCACATGTCCACGCCCACGCCTCATCGGCCCAGCTCGGAGCCAGAGGTCAAGGAGAAACAGATCATCCACGGCCACAGCATGAATCGCAGAGCAGAGCAGAGCAGAGCAGAGCAGGGGCCAACAAGTTGAATCACAGCAGCAGCAGGACCATAGCTAGCAGCAGTATGTATGTAGCACTTGAGCACAAACCATCTTGAGACTTGACATGACAGGTCGCTAAGCAACATCTCCCCAAAAATCAAGATCCGGCAATCCCACACGGCGAATTGGGCACCATCTTTTATTCCTTTTTCTTTCTTTTCGCCACGGGCTATTATTCCCTATGTAAAGTACAGTCAAGTCGATCCCGTTTAATTGTAGATCCCGTTGCTTGACTGCGTGCTTGCTCATTCATGGGCATGCCGTTGCGCGCGCGAGACTCTAGCTCGACTCACAAACACTCACCACCAATCCCAGCACCAACGCCCACGGAATGAGAAACGCTTCACACTTTCGCAAGGCAAGCACTGCTGGCCAACGGAATGGAATCAACTCAACTCCCCCATACAATACCCCTCATACACATCACATCACATCACATCTATCCGCCCCCGGGCTCATGACCATGTTACCGATGAGCCCTGTAGGGAATAGGTAACCCATAAACCCATAGATACGGGCTGGGCTGGCAACGGGCTGTTGATCCAGTTTTAGTTTTTATTTTTATTTTTTTATTTTTTTATTTTTTCGCATTAAGCCTACTAGCTAGCTAGTAGAAACGTCTCGTAAAGACGACGACGACGACGACGACGACGTGCATCGAGACTAGACTGGGGTGCTATGCGAATATGTGTATTTCTACTGGAGTAGAGTAGGACAGAGCATGTAAAGTACGAGGTGGAGTATCATGTAGCTGGAGGTGGAGGTAGAGTGGAGGTGGAGGTGGAGGTCGAAGGTATTCTAAATTTGCATCAGATTCTCGTCATACAGGACCTTGTCCATCCTCTCGTCTCGGTTGAGTAAGCACGAAAACCTGGTTCAACGGAGATCGTAAAACCAAAGAATATTCCCACCACCACCTGCACCACCAATAGCAGCAGCAGCAGCAAGGTGGTCCTATCTAAAGTTGAGTGGCCCCGTCCTTTTGGATTACATATTCTTCCGTCACTATTATTACCACATGTAAAGTACCGCTACTATTACTTTTCCCGCGATTGCGTTGCGCGGCGCGGCGGGGAGAATGGGGGGCTGGCCGCGAATTGGAGTGTTGTGGAGCTCCAGCTCCAATTTATAATTTAGTTCTATTATATCTCCTCTCCGCTCATGCTCATGCGACCGCCATGCTTTGATATGATCCATTGATATATGTATGTATGTAGGATGATGATGATGCTGCTGATGATGACTGGATGACTCCAAGCGCACGTACTCTCCGGTCCACCAAGTGCAAGTGCAAAAGGAAGAATTCAAAGATGAAGAAGAAGAAGAAGAAAGCGCAGAAGTCCGTCCGCTCGTGGCGGTGCTCAGCGCTGGGAAAATGCCATCCATAAACCCGGAGTAGCCCGTTTGCCGCAACCTGTACCTACAGCTTGCATGTAAAGCAATGTAGAGCTTGGCGTTGTGCGGTCAACGCAGCTGGTTCATGGGAGATCACTCGCAGAGCCCACTCACAATTGCCAACCGCGTGGACATTGACTGATAACCACCGGCGCATGCGCAGCAGCGTCAACAACAGCGCGAGTTAATTCATCAAACTCAACAAACATAAACCTTGTTACACTTACCCTGTTTCTGTTGCTGTTGCGCGGCGGGCATCCAACGACATTAACAAAAAAAACAAAATATCCACCGTATATCAAAATAGCAAGAATTAAAGCTGTAAAAGAAAGGGAAAACGTGTCAGCTCATTTTACCGGCTTAGCCTCGCTCGTACTTTTGGGAAAGGAGATTAAGGGACCTCGACCTCTAAGCTATAACTACATAAATGCCTAGTGCAACCAGCAGCAACCTTCAAGCAATAACTCCCAGTACGAGTATGTAGAGTGCAGTGCACAATAACAAACCCCGGCATGGCAGCGATAATACATGTATGTAGGTCATGTAGATCAGATCAGGCTCTCACCAGCTCGGACGCCCGCCAGAAACACTGTTTGATCAGAAATACGTATACGAACATTACTTCGTTCTCATAATTAATTCTTCCTCAATCATTGCTATGCATGCCCTACTTCTTGCTTCGCCCATGCCATCCATGCCCATCCTTGCCAATGCCAATCGAATCATCCAAACGATACCTTGAAGGATTGCTTTTTAGGTTGACAAATCATTGATACTGCTACCAGAGCTACTACGCCATTAATGGACCGGATGCATAGCACTGGTAACTAAACTTGATGCATATATAATAGGCGAAAGAAAAAAAAAGGAAAGAAAGAAAAAGGGCTACAGCCTTGTCTCTGTCAGTCAGTTGGTCAGTATATACAATACGTACCACGGCACTGTTTCCGAGCTGCTTTGCTCGCGAGTCAAAATTATAAGCCACTGGAATTCAGTTGTGTCTTGTTACACGACCTGCATACTACATCTCTTGCCCTGCCCCACGGGTGATAGTGGTTGTGGATGTGGATGGATGGATGGATGGATTAGTCACAATCGATTTGGATTTCGAGAAACGCCCATTTCTTGTAAAACATGACGGGTTCGAATTAACGATCAAGTGAAATATACATATATCATGTCGAGCAAATGCGGCGCGGCGCACAGCTTGTTGTTTTCAGGTTTTTTTCATTCTCTTCCGTACTTCGTTGCTTTTCTTTTTTGTTCCTCCGACCGGGAAGTCAAGTCAGTCATGGGCAGTAAGAAAAGCCAAAAAAGAAAAGAACCGCAAGACCGGTAAGGTAAGCATTAAAGCTGGGCGTATAATGTAGATCAACATCCCCAAACTTAAGCCCTCCCCCAGGGATTATTAACGGGAAGTGGAGCAGCGGCCACCATAAATCAAAACAGAGCATAAAAGTAAATAAACAGAGGTAACGATGCCAGGCAGCCCTTAAATGATGTTTCAGCGAATAGATAGGCCCCACTACCGCCATGCATTTCCCCCACCAATTGATTGGCAAGCAGGGCCACGATTTCAATATCGAGGAAGAAGCAGCATATTAACAGCAGCATCAGCAGCAGAATAAGAAAAGAAAAGCCCACCACAGGGGTACTGCGTGCACGTGCGCTTTGCCTTTCCTCCGCCGTTCGACGATTCGACGTTTATATTGTGTTTTACGATTCGATTAGCCTGCGTTGCATGCGGGCTCCCATTGGTCAACAGCACACCACCGAAGGCTCCAAATCTGAGTTTTGTGATCTTGATCTGCGTCGGTGTTACTATTAGCTCTTTTTATGGTTCCCTTAATTCATGAGCTCTCACGACTGTGAGCGAGCTAGTAGCGCTTCGTTTCGTTAATTCCTTTTTCTATTTTTTTTTGTAGGATTTCCCCCGCGTGCTCACATTTCTTGTTCACTTTCATTATTATATTTAGTTTTTTTTCCCCTTCTTCGTCGGCCTGCGAAATATATATATATTATTACTTCACGAGTCAAATCAAAAGCCACGAGCCCAGATGTCCGAACCAGTGGTGTAGAAATATCAGTGGCGGCGAAGACATCCACCGGCGTCGTCGCCCCACTCGACCTCGTCTCTCTCCTCCACTCACTTCACCCTGCGAGCACCGTCTATTCCATCGTAAGTTGTTTTGTTGTGTTATTTGTTTTGCACACCCGTTGTTCCTTTTTCTTCGAACACGTATTCTTCCCAGCCAGCTTAGCTAGGGCTTTAGAGTAGATGCGATAGATCAGTCTTTTTGTAAACACGACGACTCGGGACGACCCTTTCGAGATTGCCCTCACTCACTCACTGAGCGTAATCTATCGGGTCGTGAGCAAAGATGAGTGAATTAGGTAGGTAGCTTAGGTGGTTAGAGTAGAATCAGTAGATGTGCATGTAAGCAAGTAAGTAATTATGTGGAGCGGTCGCTGTCGAGTGGATATGTATCACTCACATTCAACCCGGACACTCAATCTAGTACCGCACCCACCACTCCCCTATCTATTTTTACGTCCCCTCAACCGGGCGCGTCTATCACAGCCTGTCACTCGATCGCGGGGATTATCGTTCCTCACTCTTCGAACCTACATACCATCATACCTACATACATACCTTTCTCATCCTCAACCCGACCAACCGATGTTTGCAGGTGTTTCGAAAGAACATAAAGATCCTGGTCGCGGTCGAGGACAAAATCTCGAATCGAGATCGAGTATTGAATGGAGATGAGTAAAGTCAATCAGGATCTGCGAGGTAGGTTTGTATTTAACCCAGCGCAACCCGGTCAAGGAGGGAATCAATATATCGACTTGCCTGCTGCTAGTACTGCTAGCTGCCAACCTGGCCGCCAACATACAGACAGACAAAATAAATAAACAAGTAGAGGCGGTGGTGAGGATGTAAGAAAATAAGATAACATGGTATGCCAGTAGAATAGAGGCATACCTACCCCATGAAAGGCACAGCCAGTAGAGTGACGGCATATATCATCCATCTAGTCAATCAATCAGTCAATCAGTCAGTCAGGCAGGCACGCAGGCAGATAGACCGTAGAGTACCCGACCAGCCACCGGCCGGCATGACAGGGAGGTCTTGTTTGACCAGAGAAGTTACTCCACCCACCCACCATCATCCAAGAAAAAACGAATAGCATGCACATAAAGCTTGGTTGTCAAGACATACACCATTCCCGAACGGGGTAATAAATATATCTCCAGTAGTAGGCGACGTCGGGCGTCCACCGTCAAGACATCCAAGCAGTGTCAAAGGCCCCCAAAACCGAGATATTCTAGCTACAATGCCCCAACCACCGTATGGCCGTACCACGCATGTATCGGGCGAGAAACGAACAAGTGGTAATCGCCGATAGCGGAAGTGGGGGAAGGACCTTTATATGTATCAGCGTAGAATGCTCCATGTGTACATATCTTTTTTCGGTCTAGGTCGGTTTTGTAGAGCAGAGTGAATGATAGTTGCTGCACGATATCATATCGATGACTCGACTTTTCTCTTTCTTCCATCCTTCGCTGCTTCTACCGCATAGAGTCTTTCTTGTTTATTTTTTTTCTCCTTTCTCTAATTTGTTGTTCTGCTGCAGTTAGTAGCCCCGAGTGATGGTTCTACTTCTAACTAGTCTCATGTCTTATCCCATTTCATGATGATCGAGTTGAGTTGCTTCCGCTCTCCTGCTTGCTTGCTTGCTGGCAGCATATCATGCATCATACATACATACATACTTTTACTCTACTCTAACTCTACCATAGAGAGTTTAAACCCCGAAAATACGGGGGAAAACCCGTCAGTGTGATATGTCGCCATTGCGGTTTCCTGAAACGGTCAAGACCCGGAACAACCCTCGAGGAAAAGAAAAATTCTCACGAACTCTAAGATATGTATGTAAGTTACGAGCTAAGGTAAGGAGTAAGAAGCATTGGCATGAATTGGAGAATGAGGGAAGGGGAAAGAAGGCTTGCGGCGAGTGAGGAAGGGAGGGATGGACGGTGCAAGATATCATGCAGAAGATAAACCGCACAGCGCGCACTAAATATGTAGGTAT